AAAAAAGATGATATTTCTAAAGCCCGGATACAGCTATCTACGTACATTCTTTGGTGGCTTTGGAAGTCCAGAAACCTTTGGGTGTTTGAAAGATCAGACAGGCCGGCTCCTCTTATTGTCAAAGCTGCGGTTAGAGATTGGATGGAATTCATAGAGATTAGCCGGCAATCAAATTTAGAGGGAAGAGGACAGTAGCATGGATGGTCTAGGATCTTCAGGGTCAGTGAAAGTCCATGTGTTGTTCTTATTTTCATTGTTCTTCAATTGTATGTCAAGGGCTTTAAGTCTTGGTTGTATTCTGATAGCTGCTTAAGTTCCTGTCATTTAGGATATGTTCTAGACCACCAGCGAGTGGTTTTCCTTTTTCTCGACTGAATGCATTGAGTTGTATTTGTACTCTGCTTTATTTTACATGAGTAAATCTATCGTTTTTGACAAAAAAAAAAAAAATAAAATAAAATAAAATATTGACAAAGGGGCGACTTTTTGTTAAGAAAAAGAAAACTGATCCAGTGATCCATATGACCGTATGACCAATACCTTGTGGGCGACGAGGCGTAGGGTCCACGAACACAGCGTGGGTATGCCCCACATACGAACCCATACCCAATCTCACCTCGTCTTTCCCGCCAAAACAAAACCCTTTCAAAATCGTAGGCCTATTGGACCGCCAGGCTCAAACCCCCTCCCTGCTCAACACGTGTCCACACACCTGTCCACATCCCTCGCCACACATTCGCTCGCACTTTCCAGACCTCACCAACTTATAATAATTAAATAAAATATCCTTGCACTTTTTCCTTTATTTAACCCCACTCCCTTCAATTTTTTCCCCATTACTTAGTTGACCTCAGTTTTCATCCTTCAAATCAAACCCAACGAAAAAAAGGGAAAAAAGAAAAAATCAAAGTGAACACACGCACTAGCACACAGTATACGCATGGAGATCGTGGATGCGTTTGAGCCCTACGGCGATCTGGCGGCGGCGGAGGAGGAGGGATGCCGGACGCCGGAGCACGGGATACCGGAGAGGTCGGCGCCGCCTCCGCCGCCTAGGAAGAGGCCGCTCCGCGGCGGCGCCGGTGGGAAGAGGGAGCCCCCGGAGAATGGATACTTCTGCCCACCCGACCTGGAGGAGCTGTTTGCGGCGCTGACGCGGACAGAAGCTTGTGCATAATTACAAGCTAATTTATGTTTTTTTTTTCTTTTTTTTTTGTAAAGTGGAAATTAGATAATAGTAATGCATGGGGTNTCCTGTCCTATCTCTGTATATTTTTGGATTGTGAATTTGTGCAAAAGTTTTGAAAAATTAAGAATGATTCCTCTCGATTGCTATGGATATTCTTTCATTTAAGCACTTTTTTTTTTCCCAAAGAAAAAAGTGATCAGTGGGAGTTTCGAGTGTGATCCGGCGATGGAAATCACGGCCATCGGAATACTGGTCGTGCTGGTAAGGGATGGAAAAAAAAATTGGTTTTATATTTATTTTATATTCTATTATTCAAATTTAGAAAATTCTCAAACTTTTAAGGAAAATGAAAAATTAATTATAGACAGTTTTGCTATGAAGTCAACAATTGGCTCCACATTAGAGTCAATTTTTTATATAAAACAAGTAAAGCTATGATTACTTCAATAACACTAATATAATTTTATTAATATATAATTTTATTGATATGTTAAATAACACTAATATAATTTTATTGATACGGTAGGCTAAAAAAATTGAGTTCTTTAACAAATGTTTGAGCAAGCTGAATGAGTGATAACCATATATTAGTACTAGACCTCCAATGAGCTTTTATTGGAAATGACTAGGACTCATTCGATCACTTTTAGATACCTCAAATGAGCTTTTATTGGAGATTAGTAGGACCCAAACTTCTATTGGAGATTAGTAGGAATTGACTCAATCTGTCACTTTTAGATGGGCTCATATAAATGCGCGGGGCCGGGCACACCTAGGAGTGAGCAACGGGGCTTGACACTTTTTTTGGTTTCGGCTCAGTTTTGATCATTCTTTGTACACATCTACTTGATAAGGGGTTGCATGTGCTTGACACAATTTTTTGGTTTCGGTTCGATTTTGATCATTTTTACTCCTAATTGCGACCTTTTTCTAGTTGTCGTGTACGAGGAGTTGCGCTCTGTCATGTCTATTAGGTGTCTTTTGGATTTCGTATGCATTTTGTTTGCTCTGGGCATGTTTTGAAAGATGTGTTTTTGTCTTAACTTGATGGAAGTGTTTACTTTTAAGAGCACTTGCATTATATTTTTAAAATTTATTGTTCGCTATTTATTTTTAATTATTCATTTGCAATATATTTTTAAAGTTTATTGTTCCTAATTCCTATATCTTTCACAATTCCCTATAGTTTGCTAATTATTTTTAATTATCCACATGTGTACGGTATAGTTACAGGTGATGATAAACAAGATTGTATTTCACAAAAAGATGGTGTTAAAATAATTAATTGAATGTTATATATACTACTACGGGCTGCATTCAAGTGAGAATGGTGCACAGTGAAGAAAATAAGAATGCATCGCACCATTAGACCGGATGATTTAATGGTTGAAAATATAAAAACCAAAATTATATCTTAATTAAGAGTAATGTGACAATTTTTCTCATACAAACAATGGGACCTATGCCACAACACTACTGGCCGCCACGTCACCTAACACAATTCATCTCTCTCTTTTCATCTCTCTAGATCTCTCTCTCTCATATACACACACTACCAGTTGCCATGTCACCACCTTTACACACTCAACACCCACCCACACACACGTACCACACATCACACACAATACACACACAATATCACACATGCACAGCACACACAATACACACACATGCACACGAACACACGACACACACACATACACGGCGGAACCGCCCGACCTCCGCGCCAGCTCCGGCAAACCTTCATCCCAACTCTTATTCACAGCGTCGCCGACCGCCGCTCTCCTCTGACGGTTTTCGGCGACCGTTGGACTACACATGGAGTTAGTCGTACTGAAAATCCGCCAGAGAAGACTACCACATCGCCTTGGCGGTTGACTCCATCGCCAGCCCTCTCCCTCGACCCCCGTATCCTTGTCGGAACCGAGACGGGTGATGAGGTTGTTGAGGACGAGGACGACCATGGAGACGCTAACTGGAGTCTGTACATCGCAGAGATATTGAAGGAGGTGACTGAGACGGCAGAGTCACTGGGGAGGCGTAGGGCGGAGATGTAGAGGAGGTGACAGAGACAACTCATGTCGGTTTCACTGCAGTCGCCGAACACATGCAACTTGCGACCCCTGGGTGGAAAACTTCGAGCAGGTGCCCTCGCCGGATGGTCCGCCCCCGTCGGAAGCTCGCGCCCTCGCCCACGGGAGTGATGGTGGTCATATAGCCGACGAGAGTTGAGTGATGGAGTGATGGGGGGGATTGATTTTGAAAATTAAATTATGATTAGGGACCTAGTTATAGATTTATTAACTATATTTATATTTCAATTTAACCCAAGGGGTCAAATCTGTAATTTTTAAAAAGTATATAAAAGTAATATATTTTTATATATCTTTTAAAAACATAAAATAATAAAAAAATATTAAATAAAAATAAGATAAAATATTAAAATATTATTGAACATATTGCACACTGTTAACTGACGGGTTGCACTTTTCTGTCAGTATCTTGCACTTTAGTATAACAAATGCACGGAAATGTTAATTAAATTAATAGTATAAAATATTAAATACAAAATTATAAATACTAAATATATTTTTATTACACAAATAACTTGATAAATGTACAGTAATTTTAATTAAAATACACGTTACTTAATTTTTTTATATTTGAAATGAATGTTAGTGTTCGGTTTGGTTGGGACGGAAGTTCGGTCCTTTCACACTGCACAATAGCGGCCAAATAATATGCACATTAATTACTGTCATGTTGCACTTTGTGTTTGTGATATTGCATTTTACCGTATGTACTGACCGAAATGAACCGAAATATATTATTTTTTATACGGTTTATATATATGTCGGTTCGGTGTTCGTTTTACTTTTAAAAAATTGGTTATTTCGATTCGTTTTTTTTTTTAAATAATCAACTGACCGGACTATATAAAAAAATCCGTTTATTAAGAGAACTAACAAAAAAAATTATTTCAGATACATTTTAATTTGTTTGGACAAGTTATTAAAACAACATGCACTGCGAGTGCACATTACTGTATTACGGGTTGCACATTAATGACTATAAGATTGCACAAATATCGACCAAATTCGAACACATTAAAATTTTCAATTCAAAATTTTGTATTCGTTTTATCTGTCTTTACTTATAAAATCATGGTTATTTCTATTTGATGTCGGTCTTATTTTTTAAAAATAAATGAAATAACTAACTCGACCAAACTATTTGAAAAATATTATTATTTTTTATTTCTATTTGTTTTATGTATTGCAAGTGCACATTATGGTTATACAAAATGCACATTAATGACTATTATATTGCACAATATCGACCAGACTAAAATTTTCGGTTCGAAATTTTATATTTCAGTTCAATTATTTGTATTTATTCTTAAAAACACAGTTATTTCATGCCGGTTTCGATTTTTAAGATATAAAAAATGACCGAACCGACAAAAGTATATAAAAGTTATATTATTATTTTTTATATATTAATAACAATAAGTACATATATTAAAATAATAATTATATTTTTATTAATTAAACGTTTAACCCATGTCCTCAATTGCAATATATTAGATGTTTGTATAATTGCAATCAAGTCCCTACATCTAATCAAATTCTCAAGAACACGCCCAAAAATCTAACCCCCTCCACCACCTACTGCCATATCCGCCGACTCATAGTGATATCCGCCGACTCATAGTGATATCCGCCGCCGACATTGGCCAGTGACGTATGTCGTCGACGTCCACCGGCAACGTGACCGATGAACGGAAAAACGACCGAGAAGTTTGCCTCCTTGAAGTGGCGGACAATTGATACTTCGATGGTGGCGGCAGGAACAGGAGATAAACGGCGAGGGCTGGCGACCGATGGCTGAGACTTCGATCGACCGGTGTGAAGATTGGACGGAGACCCGCGACGGTCGTCTTGGTGGCACAGCCTTCTTGGGTTGTTTTTACAATATTGTTTTGGCCACAAATAGACCCAATTGTTGTACTTTTATACATAATGGGTCGGCAAGAACATGAGTAAGTTTTTACGTATAACAAAGCCCATTGAAAGTTGAGATGTATGCAGTGAGTAGGACAATTGGGTCAAATTAATCTATTCAATATCTTTACTTTATATATATTATTTAAAAAAAGACAGGCCCACTTCGGCCCGCTAGGCCTACCCATCAATGCCCGCTACCGCACGGGCTGACCTGTTTAGGCCGCTCCCTAGTGAGCTTCTAATATCTCAGCCCCACCAACTCTTTTGGCGGAGAAGGGCAAGCCAGTCAGCGGACCTCAACCCGTTTTGTCAAGTCTCATGCTCTTAGAATAGTTTTGAGAGGATTAAGAAATTGAGAAGTTCAATAGAAATTTGAAGAGGAAGAAAGAGCGAAAAGATATCTTGGGCAAGTTAAGATTAAGAAGAACTCGGTACAATATTGACGATCCTACAAAGATCTAATTTCAAATAAATTGATAAAGATGAGGAAAAAATTATTATTTTCAAAATTGTAGTTTTAAAAATATAATATAGAAAAAAAGAACATTAAAAAAAAAGGGTATAATAAACGTATGTGGCGAACCTTTTGGAATGTAACAATTGTTTGTGAAAGATTTGGGCCCGGGCCCAAACAAATTTAAGTCCAGATCGACCGACCCTATGTCATCCGACCTAATCAGATAGATAATTGTTCGTGTCCCGTATCCGATGATAGAAAGATGTGAGATAATTGAACAACTTAGTATAAAAGTTTTTTAATTTAAAGTTATTATCTTTTTTTAATTAAATTTTTAATTATACTAATGGTAGAGTCCAACATATTTTTTTATAATTATATTGACATTTGAATAAATACGTTTTCAATTTAGAGTTAGATGAAGTGTTGTTTTTTTCTTTTTTTTCAAACCAATCATTTGTTCATTTTTAAACTAGATATATTTAAAATTTAAATAATTTTAATTATTAAAAAAATTGAGTATTTTATTACTGGAAGAAGGTCTACAAATTAAAAATCCTTCTAACCCTCAAAATAGATTTTGTCATTAATTAAAAAGTTATCTATTAATTTATTTGATCCCTTTTACTTATTCACAACCCTTATTACTATTTTTTCTAGTACGAAAACAAAAAGCAATTAAAATAAAAGTCATGAAAATGGAGAAAATAATATGAAAAGAAATTAAAATAAAAGTCACAAAGTTGGAGAAAAGAATTCCACAGCCAAAAGTGCTGTATTCGTCTTGAATTTATAATAATTTTTTAACACTTTAAAAATCATGTTGTATTTAATTTAGATTGGTTTAAGACTTTTACAATCATGGTGTATTCATTTAAGACTTCCAACATTAAGTGCACCTTAGTGAGGTTCTGTCACGGTGCACCTAGACTCACTCTCTTATGGTGCGCTTCACTTGCGTGAGACCTCACTCTCTTTCAATTCTTACAACAACAATAATAATATATTTTAAAAATAACATTTAAATTTAAACCATATTTTTTTTATTAATTTATAAATTTATGTATACATCTTTTAACAAATATCAGTGTAATACATGAATATCGTACTATTATTTTTTATATTTAAATATAACTTTTTTAATAATCACCCTTGTAATACACATGTATTGTAATATATAGATGTTTGAGCTGCAAGCCTACACCCACATAGGAATATTCTGCAAGCCTTTTTAAACCAACTTCAAACTTATTTTAACATGTTAAGATCAAAAAGAATAAATAAACAAATAAAATATAGCCGGTAAAGTGGTGAACAAAAACACTGAAATTTGGAAAATCTGCGCAACTTGAGTGCTGTATAATATTGTACTAAGCCAGGTGAGGTCACATGATGATCAATATATAATAGTACAAACATCAGCAGTCTTATTTCATTTCGAAAATTTTTGGGAGTTGTTGACTGGTCAAATTCCTAAATTTAGGCAGCTCAACAGTCAAATGATTCCATGATACATTTTAATGTAAACTTGCTTTTACAAATTTATATCATCTTCTGCCTTACCAATTATTTTTTATGAATATGTATACTTTTATTACAACACATTATACTTTAAAAATTAATATAAACAAGAATTATAACAATATTTCACAAAGTACTTACTTTTATTATAATATGTTGGCACGTCTAACAGTTAGACTCAACAATCAACATCCATAAAAGGTGAGAGAGCCAACAATGGATAGTACAGTGGTAGCAATATGAGGAATATTCAGTGTTTGATGAGATGCGGCTTATAACAAGAAAAGAGCAAATTCAATGAAAGTGTGTATTTATGTGAATCCTGCATTTTTCTACTGAAAATTTTCTGCCTTTTGAGGCTTTTTGGTTGTATTCTCCAAACATCGGTTTCTAGTCCTTTTTAGTTCAATTTCCCATTTTTCTCAATTTCTTGCAACCAAAATTATGTAAAACACGTACTATATAAACACACATAAATACTCATGAAATTGATCTCTTACATAGTTACATAGCATCTCCCATATTATTATAACAAAGTACCAACTACATAAATAATAATGTTGTTAGTCATTCTATTTACATACTTTGAAGAAATGTATATACTTTTATATAAATTGTCATACTTTATAAACAATATAAACGAAATGTAGCATTTTACTATACAAGTATGCATTGTTAAGAAAAAATTATGACTATCTAACCTGTTAGAATATCACTTGTGAGTTGTCCCACATCGTTCATATATGAAAAATAGACCCACCTTATATGACTAATGGGCTACTCCTCCTTCTACCAATTGGTTTTGGGATGGAACCCCATTTGGGCTTCATATGGGTTTTTCCCTTCTTTCATGGTGTCCTTCATGGTAGTGGGCCAGCACCCATTTTCCCCCAGTTTCTGTCATGGTATCAGAGTCGGTTCTATCTTGGACCGTGTGATGACGTACCCATTGTTTATCCCCCACGTACCCGTTTATGGGAGCCTGTTTGTAGTAGGGCTTGGGCTTTCGAAGGACTCACAAGTGAGGTGTTTATCCCCCACGTACCCGTTTATGGGAGCCTGTTTGTAGTAG